ACTGAAGAAGCAGAGTGAGGATTTGCATAGGCTTGGGGAACTCAAGTGACAGGCAGGTAGCCTTTTCTTCTCCAGTGTGAATTGTTCAAGTGGATCTCCACTCTTGGCGGTGACCACAGAAAGCACATGAAGAGCATTTAAAGACTGAAGGACTGTACTTCCAAAGAGGATTAGACTTCACTTCTAAATCAAGAAAGCAGTGTTAAGTGAGGGATAACTGTAGTTCCTCACAAAAGCTTTAAGAACTTTATTCACAATCTGATGAAGAGGCGTACACATGCATAGAGCCCTGATAGCCAAAAGCTTCTGTTTATAACTGAACCACAAGGCTGCATTTGTACTTCTTAGGTGAGCTAACACGCCTGCCAGGTATTTGGTATAGTCTCAGGAAGCCATCAGCAAAGCCAAACAGTAATACCTTGTATTGGTAACAAATTTATTTGAGCATAAGCTTTCGTGAGCTACAGCTCACTTCATTGGATGCATCCGATGAAGTGAGCTGTAGCTCACGAAAGCTTATGCTCAAATAAATTTGTTAGTCTCTAAGGTGCCACAAATACTCTTTTTCTTTTGCGGATACAGACTAACCCGGCTGCTATTCTGAAACCTTGTATTGGTAGTAATCATTCTCTATTCATTATCTGAGGTACTTCCTGTGTGAAACTTTACTTAAAGATGACTGTCAGGTAAACAACCCTGAACCAGTTCTTTGAACTCAGTAAGAGATAGCAGCAGCAATTGTGCCATTTGAACCTCAGAATGAATTTGCTCAGATTTCTTTAGTCCAATAGAGAGACAGACCTTTTATCTTTAAAATTAGAAGAACTTGGAGTAAGTATTTCCCTTATACTGGTGCAAGAATTTAGTATCTCCTACTTTGTTTAGAAAAGAAACTTTCACCTCAGCATTTTCTCATGGAAGTAGGATAGGAAACTATACAAATGAAACAAAAATCAAATACTTTTATTTCCATTTTCAACACCCAATTCAAATGAATTCAACTACATACAGAAAGAAAAAGCAAAAGATTGTCTCTGAAAAGGTGGATTTAATCAGATCTACTTCAGGGTTCTGGGCTCATCATCAAAATAATTATCCATTAGCAGATGCTGCAGGTAGGCAGAGCCAAAGGACACTGTCTTTCTTGGAAGCACCTGCAATGTCCTCCTGACTGTGATTGGAGGGACTACCGATGCCCTGAGATACTGAAGACTGCCCCACTGATATTAATGAGAGTTGAATGATTAAATCCCATGGAATGCTTTGAAAAGCATACATGGTTCTAAAAAACCTACTAATGCCGAGAAAGAGTTCGTTACTACTTTGTATACAGATACCAGTTTATACATTCCCTGCAACGGAGCCCCTAGACACTATACACTGTTCTTGAATATTGGATAAAACTGATACCAAGTTTATAATTAGACACAATGAAGAGCTAGAACAGGAAGCCTAAAATCTAGTGTCTTTATTTTTGCTCATTCATGTCAAACCCTTACTTATCTCAATGAATGCTTTTCTTCCTGAGATGACAGAAAAATGGATTAAGGGCAAGCTGACAACCATAATTTCCTCAGGTTGCGAAGTCACCTTCCATAGAAGCAATGAAATTCGCATACATATGTCCAACATGCAGTTAAATCCTCTCAAGCAAGTGCTTTCTGGAGATATTTACTTCATGTAAGACATACTCAGTAAGGAGCAAAAAATCATCTTGAGTACATTTTTAAGACCACCATCACAATACAGTGAAAGTGATTAATTCCATTTTTCAAGATGAAGGAAATGTTAGAAGTAAGTAGAATGGTAAAAATGTAGAAGATTTCTCCTTTTTACAACCATTTGGGTTTTAAAGGGATAGTTACAGGAACGTAAATGCTTGAATAAACAGTTAAGTACAGAACATATGGGGAGGTCATGCAAACAAACGTATAAGGATATCAGCCTATTACTGCAATGACAGCTGGAAAAAATTTGATACAAGTAGTTTGTCAACAAATACACAAGTGAACCCATCCATGTACAGGGCTTCGAGTGGCATCACAGCAGCAAGGCACAGTAGGGGAGGCTGGAATGGGCATGTGCCCTTTTTTGGGGGATGCTATTTTTTTTTTTTTTTTTGAACAAATGATAAAGACGACTTGAAAGGTTTTTTTCCTGAAGTTTTTTCATATGTGTTTAATTTACATTAGAAATTCAGGTCCCATCTAGCTTTAAAGACTGATAACTGGAGGACTAGTGAAAAGATGACAAAGGCCAAGAAAGTAAAAGCTGAACAATGACAGGAAAAAATTTTAGTAACACTGTTTAAAAATTTTGTTTAAAAGCATTTAACTTTAATGTTTAATCAATGGACAAAGAAAAATTAAATATTCAGGGGGAAATTTTCAAAAGTGACTTACGCTCTTCAGTCCTATTGACTTTCAGTGGCACTCAGGCACTTTCAAAAACTATTTGCCACATAAGTTAAGGCAAGGAATCACAAAAAAAAACATCCTAAGTGATCCCCAATATTACCTCCAGCAAAAGGGAAGTCCAGACTTGACTTTCCTGATATTTCTAATGTAACATGCAAGCAGGAGAACACACTATGCAGGACTCCTTTAAACAGTTTTTTGTGGCTATGTCATTTCTCCCTCTGAAGTCAGAATCACTTATTACTGGCGTAATACAGTTTTCATTTTCTAAGGTGTTATGATGAAGGAATACTTTTAGTTTTTCTTGGCAGTTTTCTGTGACAAGGGGTAGAAAGCAAGGAATGGGAAACTGAAAGACAAGGTATGCTGTATTTTTGCCCTGGATCCCACAAGAACTTATGCACTGACTTCGGTGGGACTGCTCACAGTGTATAGTGATTTAGAGTGCTCCATTCTGATTTTTAAAAGATGGTATTATGGTAAGTTTTCAGTTCTAGATTCAAAGATTTTCACAGTTAGTGGGAAATGTTAAGCATGTACCTAAGTCATTGCAAGATTGGTCTCTGTGTTTAAACCAGTTCAATTTAAAGCTGTTCAATTCTCCAGTGCAAATGAAGCCTTGGAGACCAAAAAGGTGAAGACAACTAACCCAAAAAAGAGGCTTTACTTCTATTTATGGAGCAAGGCGCTTTTATATTCATCCCACTTGTTAAGGAAGTAGGAAAGCAATACAGTTGTAACAGTTAATTACTTTATATTTTCAAAATGCACTACAGAGGCTATGGCTACACTAGAAACTCTCTAGTGTAGCTGCTCTAAGCCGATGGGGGGTGTGAGGGTGTTAATTACTCGAGCCCCTTTGAGCAGCGGTAGCTGTGTCAGCAGGAGAAGCTCTCCCACTGACATAGCACACCCACACCGGCACATAAATCGGCATAAATTACATTGCTCAAGGAGGTGGCTAATTCACACCCCTGAGTGACAATGTAGGTCAACATAAGCTGTAGTGTAGCCATAACCAAAGTTCTTTCTTGAACATCAGCAGTGACTCTTGAAATGCTAACATTAACATGTGTTTTTTCACACCCCTGAGCAAGAAAGTTGCCGCGCTGTAAAGTGGCAGTGTAGACAAGGCCTAAGACCAAAGCTGTATCAGCTAATATCCAACATCTCCCATGTAACGTCTGCACTTCAGCCTACAGTGTCACTAAGAAGTTAGGACAGCCCAAGCTTGATAGGGAGTTCAAACACATAATAAATGGGAAGCGAGCACCTAGTTCAACGCATATGCTCATGAATGAACTAGGCAGGCCAACACCTAGAATACTAGGGATTAGGAATCACTGTTTGTATGATGGAGCTGGCCCCAATAATCTCAAACTTTAAGAACAAGTGCACAAAGACTGTACTGTGTGCCTGGCTGTGTGGCTGCTGCCAGCAAATGTTTCTACCTTGACATACTATCTCCCTTTCTGTTACTTGGGTGAATAATCCATAAAGGATTTTCCTAGCTGGTATTGAGCAATGATGGTCAGTTCAATTGTATTCAACTTCCTACTATCAGGATACTTTCACATAGTCTAGATTTTGCTGAAAGAGGCTTTATATAATTTGTTTTCATTAAACCAATTAGTAACACTGGTGTTTAAATCTAAACTGGTCACCTAACGTATTTGTAACCCAAGCTTTGCAGCCCTGTGCTAACATCTGAAAACAGTGTGTGAAACTGCATGGTTGTTTGTAGTGTTGTTGTAGCCTAGTTGGTCCCAGGAAATAAGATAGATAGGTGAGTAAGGTAGCAACTTGTATTGGACCAAGTTCTGTTGGTGAAACAGGCAAGTTTTTGGAGTAGCAGCCATGTTAGTCTACTTAGCTGTCTTAGTCTGTATTCGCAAAAAGGAGTACTTGTGGCACCTTAGAGACTGACCAATTTATTTGAGCATAAGCTTTCGTGAACTACAGCTCACTATGCATCCGATCAAGGGGGGAGGGATAGCTCAGTGGTTTGAGCATTGGCCTGCTAAACCCAGGGTTGTGAGTTCAATCCTTGAGGGGGCCATTTAGGGATCTGGGGCAAAAATTGAGGATTGGTACTGCTTTGAGCAGGGGGTTGGACAAGATGATCTCCTGAGGTCCCTTCCAACTCTGAGATTCTATGATTCTAAGTACTCCTTTTCTTTAGGCAAGTTTTTGAGCTTCACAGAGATAGAAAGCCTGCCTCTTTCACAAACAGAATTTGGTCAAATAAAAGATATTACCTCATCCACCTTGTTTCTCTCAAACTGAATGGTAACAGTGCACCTCCTTACCCCCACCTGTGGGGCTGGAGCTAAGGCAATGTTGTTGAAAGTTTATTTAGTGTTAAGGATCTCACATTTATTTGACTCTAGGTGCCTATAGACCTGCCTGTGCTTCCTGAAAAGTGAGCTTTATCAGGGGCTAATCTGGCCTGTTTCCCTGAACGGGTGAAGCTGGAGCAGGTGGCAGCGGCTGAGATTACCCTAGGTGGGCATCCTGCTCGCTGCGGACCATAGGGGCGAGGGTACCAGCCTGGCTGGGGGTAATGAGCTGTGCCGCACTCACCAGCTGTTTGAGATCTTCCTCCGAGAGCCCCGCGTAGCGGTAGCGCTGCTGCTCGAACTCGTATCTGGTGGTCTTGGCCACCACCACGACCCGGGAGGGGCGGAACCCCCCGCCACAAGCGAGCCCCGCGCTCCTCCCCCGCCGCTGATCCAGCCACGACAGGGCGAACCCAGAAGAGTTCTTCGGGCCCAGCGCGAAGGGTCCGGGTGCAGGCGAGCCTGAGCGCTCTTGCTGGAGGAGCCCCTGGGGTGGGAACCCGGCAGCGGCGAAGGAGGGGAGCAAGGACTCGGCCCGGCTCAGCCGGCTGCACGTGAGGAGGCGCCGCTGAAGCCCGCCGGGCAGCGGCAGCCCGGCCAGGAGAGACGAAGCTGCAGGCGCTGCTTGGTATTTCAGCAGGGAGCGCAGGGCGGCCGCCCGGCTGGCTGCGCAGCGGCAGCCGCACAGGAAGCCCGGGTAGCAGGTCATAGCCCGGGCTTCACTACCCCCGGACCCGTAATGGCCGGGAGCCCACCCCTGGCCGCTCCAACCGCGCAGCTCTTCGAGGGGGGCGGAGACAGATCCGGCAAACCAGAGCCCGCCGCCTCCTAAGCGCTAAACACACATGGTACGTGCGCGCCAGCCTAGAGACCCAGCTCGCGGAACAGACAGCGCACGCGCCCAACACAAGGACTGGGACAGAGAGACATACTCACCCACCAAAACATAATATGGACTGCGCATGCGCCCGACTCAATCAAACCAATAGGGGGAAACTTTTCCCGGCTGCTGACAGGACGAACAGCGCATTTCAACCAATCAGGAAGAAAAGAACGCCAAACCGAGGAAGGGCGGGAGGAAAAGGCCGTGGGGTGCTTATCTACGTCAACCCCTACAGATTGCCTCTCCGTCCTGTTGGGATTACTGAGGGGTGCGCATGCGCTTCCTCCTCCTGGCACAGCCTGGGAGGGGTCAAGAGATAGCGATTGGATTCGAACTGAGAAGTTGGGTGCGCGAGCTGGAGAGTGACTGCCATCACAGAGCCAGTTAGAACTGGCTCGGAGGGGGCGGGGCGCCCCTCCTGAGGGGAGTTGTTGACTGGAGGCAGGGAACGCTGGGCTGTCAAACTGCCACCTGTCCAGGGCAGCCTCCCTGTCTGCGAGACATGAGGCAGAGTACACAGAGAGCACCGTGTCACCCCAGCATTGTGCTACGGGCGGGCTCTGACTAGCACTAGCTAAAAACCTATATATGTGTGTCTATATATATATATATACACACCCCCTCTGATGAATCCCCTGCACACCCCATGGTGCCCCCCATGCCACAAACCCCCATGCCCACCCCACCTTGCCATACTGCATCACAACCCCCCCGTATCCCCAGTGAAACCTTGCTGTGCACTGTGACACCCACCCCTTGAGTACCTTGGGCCGCCGACTGCTACGCCACGACCCCAATTGTGTACCGTAAACTGCCCGTAAATTGCCCTGAGGGCCATGATCCCTGCTGTGCCCCAGGCTGCCCCTGACCTGTGCCAGGACCTCCCTACTGTGCTCTTGGCTGAACATCCTCTCCCCCCCCCCAGGTCTTGACACATCTCATCTCCCCACAAAACCCAGACTGACCCCCCCCATCTTGCCACAACCCCATTGGCAAAGCCCAGACTGACCCCCCTCCCCAGGTCTTGCCACATGCACAACCCCGTCCACAAAGCCCAGGCTGCCTCCCCTGGCCTGTGCCATAACCACAGGCAGCTCAGCATCTACCGGCAGCCCCACCGATCAGCTCCTTCCCATCCCTCCCAGCGCCTTCCATCTGCTGCAGATCAGCTGTTTAGCAGCTTGTGGGAGGAGTGAGGGCAGGGTGCGCTCAAGAGAGGGGGCAGAATGGGGTGGAGTGGGGGCAGGGCCTGGAGTGGGGCAGGGGATTGAGCTCCCCCCAGTAACTCATAAAGACACTGCCTATGGCCACACAGCCCTGCTGTGCTCCAGTCAGCCCTCCTCTCCCCCCGGGCCATGCAACAATCCCCCTCCTACTGTGCCCCAGTTACATCCCCTGGGGCTGTGCCACGATCCTACCCTGCTGTGCCCCAGTCTGCCCTCCCACCCCGCACTGTGCCCCAGGCTACCCCTGTTACACACACAATTTAGGGCTCTCACTCCCCCTCCTCTCTTTTGGGTACTTAGGAAGTAAGGGACCCAACTTTACCCCTCCATGGGCTCCGGGCTAACACCCATTCCAGTGGGCTTTGGGCTTTACGGTCTGCAGGGCCTTTTCCAAGTGTAAGAGTCTTACACAATAATATCCTTAACCTATATTTATTAACAATTGATTGACAGAATACACATGCTAAGTGTACAGTGCTCACCACTCCCAATAAGGCTAACAAACTTTTCCTGGTGGCCAGTCAGGATCAGGTAGTCCAGGACTCCAGCTTCTGAACAGTATATAGTTGGCAGGGTTTTGGAACAGCTTTGGTGTTTGGCAGCTTTGATGTTGGACTGTGTTCTGGAGTTAGGTTCTTCTTCCATTTCTTCTTCTTCTTCTTCATTTCTTCCAATTTTTATAGTGAAACTTGAGTCCTGACGATCTGTATGTGACCTGATTATTTTTACTAAAGTATTATGAAATAATTCTTTAACCAGTCCTAACATAGTGTGTTAGGGGGCTTATTCCTTCACCCACTTACTTCCCTGGTCCTTCTCGCATGAACAGAGAGCAACAATACCCGAAGTCCAAAGGTGCAAACAATTCGATGTTTATTGGGGTGAACTTCCAGCAAGCATGATTCCAGTTTCCTTCCTTAGTATCCTCCTTCCCAGCTCTGACACCACAGAGCCTTACACCTGTGTCCCTGTTCCCATTCCTACCCTTAGCCAAACATGATTCCAACTTCCTTACTCCCATTCCCTGTTCCCATTTCCCCCTTTAGCAAAACATGATTCCAATTTTCTTACTCCCATTCCCTGTTCCCATTTCCCCCTTTAGCAAAACATGATTCCAATTTTCTTACCCCCATTCCCTGTTCCCATCTCCCTTACCCCCATGCCCATGCCCACCCCCACCCAGTCACTTCCTCATTGACTACAGATTATATAGTAAAACTTGAGTTCTGCTTAGCTATACCTTAACCAATCATTTTCCTGAAATTTAACTAACCAATCCTAACATATTGTAACATGATTATGTAACCAATTATATCCCACCACCTCAGTTAGTTTACACCCAGCAAAATTAATTATACAGCAGACAGGAACAATCACAGGACCAGACAGAGATTATACAGACAAACAATAGCAAAGTGACAGGTTTCAAAGGAACAGCCGTGTTAGTCTGTATTCGCAAAAAGAAAAGGAGTACTTGTGGCACCTTAGAGACTAACCAATTTATTTGAGCATGAGCTTTCGTGAGCTGTAGCTCACGAAAGCTCATGCTCAAATAAATTGGTTAGTCTCTAAGGTGCCACAAGTACTCCTTTTCTAATAGCAAAGTGGAAACTATAATGACAAGACAATACAGAAGTGAGGGTTTCACATCCCAGCTGTTGATAAGTGAGTTCTTGCCAGACAGGATGCTATCAAACTAAGTTTCCTTTTACATTTTCTAGGCACTTCCCTTTCTCTGGAGGTGATAGGAATACAATCCTGTCCTGATAGTGCCTAACAGCCCAATAGCACCTTATTTCAATGTGACTAGTTTGGAATGTGAGGATGTGACTGTTCGCTTCCCAGCTTATGGCTGCCTCTGCTGCTTAGCCAAAGGCCTTAGCCTAAGAACAGGGCCTCAGACTGTCACAGTAAGAGAAGGCCCTTACACCAGCAGATAGTGATTTTGATTCTTTTATACCTCTATAATTAGCCAAGTGATAAGAATACACCTAAATTCTTAGAGTATAGGCCTTTACAGACAGGCATGAATATCTATATCCTAATACTGTGAAACACTTGTTTACCAATCATGCCCCACCACCTGAGTTGGTTCCAATCTTGCAAAATTAGTTATGCAACAGACAGAATCAATTAAAGAATCAGACAGAGACCGTCAGGGTGGATTAAAAATCAATGATTTAAAAAAAAAAAAAGTTTTTTTGATAAAATGCTTGAAGAGAAAAGCCTATCTAAAGATAGTTTTAATTAAGTTACATTATAGCTCAAAGATATCTCATCATGGAATAGGGATTATACTAATTCTATAGTATGAGACAATATAGTCATGTAATATTTAAGAAAAGTTTTGTAAATGAGTTCCAATAGTTCATGGATTAGGGACCCAATTTTGGGGGGTTCCAGGGGCTTCTGTATAGATTATTTAGGTTAATCTTTCTAGCTACCCAGTGGGATCATGGTAAATAGGCCCAATGGCCTGTGACGGGATATTAGATGGGGTGGGATCCGAGTTACCCAGGAAAGAATTTTCTGTAGTATCTGGCTGATGAATCTTGCCCATATGCTCAGGGTTTAGCTGATCGCCCTATTTGAGGTCGGAAAGGAATTTTCCTCCAGGGCAGATTGGAAGAGGCCCTGGAGGTTTTTCGCCTTCCTCTGTAGCATGGGGCATGGGTCACTTGTTGGAGGATTCTCTGCTCCTTGAAGTCTTTAAACTACGATTTGAGGACTTCAATAGCACAGATATAGGTGTGAGGTTTTTTGCAGGAGTGGTAGGTGAAATTCTGTGGCCTGCGTTGTGCAGGAGGTCAGACTAGATGATCATAATGGTCCCTTCTGACCTAAATATCTATGAATCTATGATTCAGTGATGGTAGAAGATACCATCAGAGATGCTTAGTTTTGCAGTTCTCAAACTGGATTTGTGTCTCCAGAGATAACATGCTTGTTAACAGAAAAAAGGTTTTAAATAAATAAATATATGGAGGTGAGAAATAACAGACCTCAACTCTATTGTCCCTCTGCAAATCTGTGTACAGAGAGTCAATCCCTTACCTCTCTCTAAAAGTGCAAAGTTTCAAAAAGTTCAATGAATAGAAGATTGTTGGGGTCGGAATAGATCTGGACAAGGAGAAGAAGTCTGGAGATAAATGTGAGAAGGGAGGGACAGGCAGTAGAAACAAAAGTGAAGCTGTTTGAGCAGCATATTCCAGAAGTCTTGAGGTCTTTCTGAGCGTAGCCTTCATTGATTTGAGATCTTCCACACCATTCTCTCACTAGAAGGGAAAACCTATAATGGCAGCAGGCCATAAAAAAAAACCCAGTTTGGGAATATTTTAATGAAGTTCCTCTACCTGTGGGTAAGACAGGCATGCATGCAAAATGTGCAACAAAGAAATGCAAGACTTGGTTGCCCAAATGAAACAACATCATGAGAAGTGATCCTTCTCAGGAGGAAGCTGTGTTGAAGATGATGAAAGGAACCTGTCTGAACATGCAGGATCTTCAGGTTGGTAAACTTTTTTATTTCATACTTCTTTCTTAAGGACTGCCTGTCTTCATTCTGGACTATTCTTGAATTCTCATGTTTGAGGAAAAAATATAGTTGTTACTGTATGGTACTATCATTTTAGATGCAGTTGTGATAAAAAATAAATAGCTGAAATAGGCAGCTCTTCCTTTTACAATTTCACCTTTAGAGTAGTACTGTGTGTCAGTTAATGCAATGAGTAATATTAAATGAGCAGTATGGTAATAATAATTAAATAACTGCATGGACTTATTTTGTTTAGG